TTTTTGAGATAGAGTCTCAAGCTGTCGCTCTGGGTAGAGTGCTGTGGCATTACAGCTCACAGCAATCTCAAACTCCTGGGTTTAAGCGATTCTCTTGCCTCAGCCTCCCAAGTTGCTGAGACTACAGGTGCCCACCACAATGCCCAGCTATTTTGTTGTTGTTGTTGCAGTTGTCATTGTTATTTTTGCTGGTCCCAGCTGGGTTTGAACCCTCCAGCCTCAGTGTATGTGGCCGTCACCCTGCCCATTGAGCTACAGGTGCTGCCCTGTTATAGGTTTTTAATAGACTAACCCTTTATCAGCTTAAAGAAGTTCCTTTATGAATACTGTAGTTTAAGGCTGTTTTTAAAAAAATAAATAATAATATTATTAAGTTTTATTGAATTCTTTTGCCACTTCCATTGAGATAATCCTATATCTTTCCCCAGTATAATCTTTAACATATTGAAATATATTGAAAGATTTTTGTACATGCTACTGAATTCAACCTACTAATATTTCTTTTTTTTTTTTTTTTTTTTGGCTGGGGCTGGGTTTGAACCTGCCATCTCCAGCATATGGGGCCAGTGCCCTACCCTTCTGAGCCAGAGACACCACCAACATAGTAATATTTCATTTAGGATTTTTGCCTCTGTGTTGCCATAAGTGAGATTGGCCCATACTTTTTTTTTCTTCTAAGGTCCTTACCCAAGACAATTTTGGGTTTGGATTTCAAGACTACATTAAATTATGAATTAAGAACTCAGCACCTATAGCTTAAGCAGCTAAGGCACCAGCCACATACACCAGAGCTGGCAGGTTCAAATCCAGCCTGGGCCTGCCAAACAACAATGATGGCTGCAACCAAAAAATAGCCGGGTGTTGTGGGGGGCACTGGAAGTTCCAGCTACTTGGGAGGCCCAGGCAAGAGACTTACTTAAGCCCAGAAGTTGGAGGTTGCTGTGAGCTGTGATGCCATGGAACTCTACTCAGGGTGACAGCTAGAGGCTCTGTCTCAAAAATTAATTAATTAATTAATTAACTAGCCAGGCATTGTAGAGAGTGTCTGTAGTCCCAGTTACTGGATAGCATGAGGCAAGAGGGTCACTTGACCCCAGGAGTTTGAGGTTGCTGTCAGCTATGATATCACAGCATTCTACCAGGGCAATGGAGTGAGACTTTTTCTCAAAAGAAAAAATAAAATTCATGAATTAGTTTATGATTTAAAAAACGTTTACTAACAGTCGCCTCTTGGCCTTTTGGCTAAGGTCAAGTATAAAAAACCCTGTGCTATATTTTAATATGGATCCCTTCCCCCCACTCACTACTGACGCCTTCTGGGCTGTGGTTTGCTGGGGGCCCTAGTGCCTCCACACACAAACCCCTTTCCCCTCCTCCTCCTCCTCTCCCTCCAAGACAAAGACACAAGGATCTGGCTAGTCCCACTCCCCAGAAGTTCACACCCAGAGACCCTAACCTGGCAGGCAACCTGTGGAATGTGTCCCCCCCCCCCCACGGTCCCATATAAAAGTGGTCTCCAACTGCCCGGGGGTAAGGGGCAGACGGGTCACCCTCCTCTTTCTTTTTTTTTTTTTT